AATTTCTAATGCGATCCTACAGAGAAACGCCGAGCATAGACCTTTCCATAGCGCGCTGAGCGACTATGAACCTGTGAACTAGCCGTACCGTCAGTGCCCACGTCTCGGCTCAAACGGCTAAAGAAGAACTTTAGGCACTGTGGGATCGATGATGTCAGGACTTGACGTAGCTTCCTAAACGCTGTCCAACCTAGCTGAATTCTTCCTCGTCCTCAAAGTTGTTTCTACTTAACTGCAATGTCTGCCCGAGGTATACATATTTTTGAACAACTTCGGGAACGGCACCGTGTATTGCAATCGGTTCCAGTAGAACATGTTCATTGAACATGACCTTGTCATTCAGCATCGTTTGTAGGTCCTGCAGGGTTTCTGCCATATTGACGATGTCGTCTGCAAATCGCAAGTGAGAGATGCGTTGGCCATTTATGTTGATGCCACGTTAGTGGAAGTTTGTATGGTAATGTACATTATATATTTTTTTAGTTTTATCGTTCTCTTATTTTAGAAGTTACAGGGGGGTGACACATTTTGCCATTTTGGAAGTGTCTCTCGCACAAACTATTTAGTTTAGAAAAAAAATAGAACAAAACACCTTTAAGACCTATCCATGGATACCACACGTATGGGTCTCATGAAAAAAAAATTTTGAGTTTCAGTTTTAAGTATGGGGAACCCCCAAAATGACAGTGCCAGATTCTGACCCACCATTTACAGTAATATTAAATTGATGAAAAAATATATACGGATTTTATCTCGTACTGATTTAATGATTACTTGGTAAAACTTGCAGATACGAAATAAATATTAAAATAATGTGTACCTACTGTTTCCGTTAGGAGAAGAATGAAAACATGGCATATGCGTTTGGTTGCACGACAAACAATAAAATATCAATGAAGTTTTCGAAAAATATCGTTCTCTTTATTAACGTTATGGATCTAATACGCATTTTGGTTGTTAATAAGTATTATAAATTCATGTTTATAAATAAGTATAATTATTTTAGTTCCTTTTATTTTTTATGCACATACACATTATTAAGTCGTACCAGGGGGCCAATCGCCTAACTGGATTACTTTGGAAAACGCTATCGCTTACGATTTCATTTTGTTATTTCTAGCCCCCTGAGGTTTTCAAATGCCTCGCGCTCTTTTTTTTCTTTTGCATTAGTAATAACAATGTTAAAGAAAATGAGCGTGAGGTATTTCGGCGGTTAGAAATAACAAAATGAAATCGTAAGCGATAGCGTTTTCCAAAGCAATCTGGTTAGGCGATTGGCCCACAGTACCTATGTGAAACTAAACGTCTTTCTGGATTGATATCCTTTTCTTATGACTGTGGTGCGGTGCGACATAGTAAACGAAACGAAACGAAACAAAGACGACTCGGGTGTTTTGGAAAATAATTCAGACTTTAGCTTTTGAATACGGACTCGATCACGCCTTATACGACCTTGTGGCTTTGTTTTTGTACACTAAAAACGTTTGTACACTATCAGCTACAATACGGTCACTGTTAAATACATGGATATCGTTACAACAGGTTTTGATTGATAATTTAAAAAACAAGCGTTGTTTGATAACGAAGTATATTCTCATATTTATACATTTTTCTTTTAGTCTTGTCCTTTTAGCTATCACCTGAAGCAGTAGCATGTTTTAATCTAGACAGACTTCTGATCGACACAGACAGTTTCTAGTCGATAATGTTTCTTGCGGTTTAATGAGCATCGTCGCAATGAAAACATGGAAGCTGCAAGAGAACTGGGCCATACACATGTTTTTCGTTATTGTTACAATTATTTACACAATAAAGAGAACGAATTGTATGTTTGCCTTTAATTAATAAACTCAGAAACCCTCATAGACTGATAACAATCGAAAAAAGGCGAATAGGTACCAAGAAACTATCTATTAATTAAAGTTATGAAAGCGCCTGATTAATAATTTGTAACAATTCCAATTATCTGCTCAATGGCAGCTCGAGAAACGTATGATAATTGTACTCTTTATTAGTATTTATACTTTTTTGTTTCCTAATATTACAGCTATCAAATGTTTTTTATCGCATTCAGGTTTATCGGGTGGGTCAAACCTCTATATAACTTCTAGCCTTTGTCCTTAATTTTTATTTTCTATTTTTGTGTGAAAATCTTAATACGGTTCACAGAATACATCTACTTACCAAGTTTAAACAATATAGTCCTTATAGTATCGGAAAAAAAGTGTCTGTGACATACGGACGGACAGACAGACAGATATGACGAATCCATAAGGGTTCCGTTTTTTTGCCATGGCTACGGAACCCTAAAAAAGGTTCGAACTAACCAACTTCAATAATTCCCTTATTGATTCATGTTCGTTTTTTATAGCACTTGTACCTATTTATCTTATAATAACTAAAGACCCTCGGAATGAAAGGTCATCGGCGAAATCTGCCTTAGCATGCCCAAAAGAATTCCTTCACTATTATTTTTCTATTATTTTTTAACTTATTAACGGACAATCTGTTTAAAAAAAATCAAAATAAAATTTCTGTTACTAGATACAGTATCTAGTAACAGAAATTTTATTTTTAATTTTTTTATTAATTAATGGGACAAGTTTGTAGTTTGGTAAACAACCTTGGCACTCCTTTTTATTGAAAATACAGCATTAAAAATGAACTAATAACTGGATTCAATCATAACAAATCTACATTTGTTAAACTTAAACTACTTTAAGCCGAGGCGGACGTGGGTGCAGCAACCGTACATTTATGCCCAATGTACTTTGTAAGTTTTATGTTAGTTAAGTTTGTATGTAAGAATATTTTGTAAACGATATAAATATTTTTTTTTGTATGGGGATGTAGTACGTTTGCTGTTTACAACTGTTCGCACTATTTTCATTTACACGATTTTTCTCAAAATTCTAATTGCGAAAACTTGCGAATAGTACGAAAAAGAAATGAGTCACCAAAATTTTTTTGTTCGTGTAGGAAAAGTGGCAACAGTAAGTCGATTACAACGTAGTCCAGGGCGCGTGGTCCTCTGAAGAAAATGTGATGGAGGGATAAGGGGGAATATTTCCTCAGAACACTCGCCGTGGTATAGTCGGTAGAATACCACAATTATGCCACATCGCATAATTTATTTATCTTGTAATTGTAGAGACTCGAGTTTGTTAGTTACCTCTTCACCAATGATGTGGGCAGTGCGCCGCTGCAACCTATCTAAAACATCGAGTAAGTACTTAGCCGAGCCATCCTAGAGGTGCGAGCAATATTCCACGTAGGACCGCACTTGCGTTTTGTACAACAAGCACAGGTGATCAGGTGTGAAAAAACTTCGCATCTTGTTCAGGACTCTGAGTTTGCATGAAGCTGTTTTGATCACGGTTTCGATCTAGTACTTTGGACTCAGGTCTTAGCGAACTCCGACACATGAACACATGTTTAAAACTTGCTATCCTGTAACTTTATCGTCTGAAAGTCATTTCTTTTTTTGCATCGATCACTTAGATGTAAGTTCTCATTGAATAATATTTAAAGTTTAAAAATACAATTTTTAAGGTTATGAATGTACAGTTAGACCAGAAAGACAGAAAGACCCGCTCTGTCATCCATAATGCCATAATCGCTTGCGGTAGCGGCGTAGTAAATATTCATTCATAGACATGTAATTATCGCTGTCTTACTTTTTCGTATAGCGCTGTCGCGATCACGATGCGGATGACAAATTGCAACTAAAACAAATGCAATTCAATACATTATTCAACAATGAAATGCTCTTTGTCTTACTTTTGTGCGGCGGCCCAGATTGGCGCGTCCGACGCGAAGGCGGGGCGTAGTCAAAACTACTGTAGAAAACCGTTCAAAGCATTTTGTTCGCCAAGTGACAGAGCGCAAAATTCCGCGATAGGACCTACTAAGTCAAAGAGTTTTGTCGTTTCTGCTTTCACAAATCCGAAGTCCAGCATTAATTTAGTCAAAAAACCAATAAACGGAAACTTTCTACACGATATAAGGTTTTAGATATATTTTAGTCCGACAAAAAAAACAGTAATCCGACAATGACGTGTAGTTGTTTACAAATTTTGTGACGTCGCAATCATGGTGGACAGCGTTTTCAGTGTTTAAAAAGCATAGACTTAAAAACTTATTTTTTTTAATTAATTAACTTCTTATTTTATGACGTGAAATCGATGTATTTAGGTTCCTCATACCAAAAATTATCTATACTTATAATAAATCTGTAGAGATGTCAATTCTGTACATGAAATATATTTTTAAAATAACTATCAGGGGGTCATTAGTGATCGATACTGATGCCAAAAATGCAATCAGTAAAATTTTTGTCTGTCTGTCTGTCTGTCTGTGTGTATGTTCCTTATAGAAACAAAAACTACTCAACGGATTTTAACGAAACTTGGTACAATTATTCTTCATACTCCTGGGCAGGTTATAGTATACTTTTCATCACGCTACAATCAATAGCAGCAGAGTAGTGAAGGGAAATGTTGGGAAAACGGGAGAAGTTACTCCATTTTTTAAGCTTCCGTCGCGGGTGCAGCCTTAATGGTTAAAGTTACATAGAAATCATGTATGACGGAAATATTCTACATAAAATTGTCTAAAAAATATCCCGCAATAGCAAATGTCTATCTTTTATGGTTGACTCACAATAACACGTGTAATTATATAAATAAAGTCATTCTTTATAGCACAAGCCTGAGAACAAAAACTATAGTTTACACTACAGCTCTACACCGAAGCGAAGCTAGGGCGGGCCACTAGTAAGAAATAAACATTTGCATAGTGCATATTGCCATTAGTCAACTAGCCTATTTTTCGATATTTAAAATTTTATTATATGTGTTCACCCTAGATTATACTCCTTGAATTGAAGTGATTTACTTTCCTTTGGGAATACGAATACAGAAAAATACATGACTAACGTAAAAATTTTATTTGTAATCTCATAATATTCTTAAAATTAAAAATAAATCACAGTTTTCTTGCTATGACACTTCTTATCTATGATGTATCACGTCAGTACTTTGTTTCGATAAAATATGATGGTGGTATGGCGTGGTTGGAAGGTGTTTAACCGCGGAAAGGTTGATTGGGGTAGGTCGGCTGTTGTTGGGGCTGAGCAGCGATGTACTGAAGAGCTCTGGCGATGGCCTCGGGAATGGGGGGAGGTGTGGGCAGATGGGCGCCCTCCGCGCGGAAACCTGAAGGTAAAAAAATATATAATTAGTACTCAAAAAATAAAAAACGATGGTATAGTTTTAAATGTACGACTAAACATCTTTATTCCTTTATTTTTAAAGATCTGTATAAATTGTAGGAGTAAAGTGGAGTTAATTAAAGCATAATTATTTATAAGGTTGAAAATTCTTACCGTTCTCATCGGCGATGTAGGAGACGGAGATGGGTATGCCTTCAGGGGAGGTGTACGCGAAGTTGCCCTGGGCGACTTGAGCCTCAGCGTCTTTCACGCCAGCGTTCTTCAAATATCCCTGCTCTTGTGCAGCAATTCCATTGCCAGTCTCATAGCTGTGAAAATAATAATGATTTTATCTATGCACATCAAAAAAGTCTAAGCAACAAGCATCATTTACAGAAACTGTGTTTTATTAATTTGATTGCATTTTTTTTCTTAACAAAGTAGTTTGGTATACAATCTTTTTTGTTTTGGAATCTTAATTGGTTGATTTGAAATAAAGAAGAGAAAGAAAACTTTATGATTTTGTTTTGTTTTCATAAAAGTAAATATATTCAAAAAGATAGTGAAAATTGTTCAAAACTTAAGAATTGCACATGTTGCTGGCTTTTTTGATGAGTATATTTGGAATTATAGTTTAAGTGTTGAAGAATGAGTATTCTAAATTAGAATGTTATTTTTTCAATAAAATGCTTAGCATATTATTCCAAGCTTATTGATGTCAAGTGTAAATGGAGTGTTTTTACCGATATAGGCGATGTGACAGAAAAGTGTGCAGCTCTAGTTAGCCTTTTCTTGCTGATTTGAATCGAATTCCCCACCTCTGACAACCGAATTCACCGACGAAGGAAAAAGCTAAAGAATATACTTGTTATTTGGATACAGTCTTCTGTAAGGTTTTTTTGATCGTCAATTTATTTTTTTTGTAGTTGCCATCCATCCCGGCATCGTCGACCTCCGTGGCCGAGTGGTTTATACGCCGGGTTTCATGATGTCACCGACCCGTGAGGTCCCGGGTGCGAATCCCGGTGAGGGCAGATGTCTTTGTGATGAATACGAGCATTTGTACTCCAGTCATGGATGTCTTATATGTTTTTCCATATAAATATACTTATGTATATACAATATATGTATTCTATCCGTTACCCTAGTATTCCATAACACAAGCTTTACATTGCTTACTTTGGGGCCCGGCTAATTGGTGTGAGTGTGGAAAGCATTAATTTATTTATTTATTTACTAAGTATAGAAAATATCTCAATGTTAACGGAAGAGTAAGTGAATGTGAAGTGAATTTTTGTACACATGTAAATTATATAAGTAGACTACTTCACTCCTATTATGGTTGGTTAGTAAAGGTTTCATAAATCACATGATCTGTAACAAACAAGCACTCGGGGCGGACTTCCACACGCCCGTAAATATCAAATCTAATGAAGGGTTCCGCCAAAACGTTTTCGGGTCATGCAATGATGCATTGTCAATTTATTGGTCTTGGGAGTCTTCCATTTCTTATGTTTGTCTAGTAGCGAAATGCAACCCTATCTTTGAATCTTTATCGGCTTATATCTTTATTTAACTTAAAGCTTATTGTTACAAGAGTAACTCTGTTGTTCTAAATTGATTTTACATTTAAAACAAGATTTTTGTAAATAGATTTTAAAGTGATTTTTTTTAGATATATGTTGATATTCGATTCTTGTGATTCATTACTTACATATACAAAGTTAGATAATAGTTTAGTGATTGTGTTGAGCAATGACGCTGATTTCTTCTCTATCATTGTTTTATAAATTGACTGAATGTTGATATCATTCGACCCGAATGAGTAAACGCAGCCTCATGAGTGAATCACAATTAAATTATGGATTGCATCTGAGTCAAAACGTTGCGCAACTAGGGCTGGGCTCCGTCTGAGATGACTACAAATCTGACACTTAATATACTTGACAAAGGAGGAATTCCCATTTATGATTCCTTTCACAATCTCGAAGATCTGGATTTTGCTGATGTAGCGATATATTTTAATTAGTCGATTGCACAATTCCAGCCCATCTGGCAATCTTTTGATTCATATACACGTCACTTAAGCATATTTTATTAGTATCATAAATCAATACCAATTATATTTATAACACATTCGGATATAAACGTATACCCCCTTATTAATACTGCAACTTTAACAAGTTTTTTTAAATAAAATAAAAATAAATGTGTGGATAGAAAATAATGCGTATTATTTAAGAGTGTGAAATATCAAATACTCTTTATCACTATGTAGTTTATGATATACTCGATTTATTGATTTTCTACTGACATAAGGTTACTAAAACTAGAAAAACATAATTTAACAAAACCATCGTATAACAATTTCAGAATATTTTTTATTCATATTTTATAGATAGCTATCCAAAGGGGAAACGCTGCCAGGTTCTTCGAAACCTTGCCTAAAGGGACTCCCTTTAATTATGTATTTTAGTTATTATATTTTATTTTTTAAGGTTTTTATTTTTAGGTTCGTTGTTATAGTATATTTTTTGTTTTTTTTAAGTTAGTATTAGATAATAGTATATTTGTTAATTATATTTTTTATAGATGGTTATTAAGCAGATTCTACTATTTTTTATATACCTGTATTGGTAGGAGCCGTCGAAGTTAACCTCCTGTTGTTGTTTGATGATGGGGATGACCTGTTCTTGGTACTGCTGCTGCGAGTACTGTGAGTATTGTGGGCCTGCGCACGCCATCACGACCAAGGCAGATAGAACCACGAACTGTGAATTATAAGAAATGTGTTAAACTTCATTTAGGTGTCCTAAAATGAAACTTGCAACTTTTTGACCTAGAAAACGCCCGCACCTTGTGTTATTATTTAGAAGTATGACACATTTTTTTAATATGTTCATAGTAGTCATAGGTCTAACCACTTTTACAGTTTTTTTTTTTACTTTATTATGTAAGTTTTATGGTTAATTATGTTATGTCAACTATCGATTTGAATTTTTTATAGGTACATGAGTATGGTTTAGGAAATAGAAAATCAGAAAATCTATTATATTATTGTTTGGAAGTGTACAAACCGTATTAAGAAAAAAAAACAATGAGTTAATATCGATTCACTTGCCGTTAATCAGATTATAAACTGACCTCGCTTGCAAAATGTATCGTCACTCCAAGATCAGAGGTTTTAAAATGCCAGGTCATTTACATATTATGCCCACAATTTTCAAGTTGCAGAATATAGGGGCAACAGTGATCTATCTGCTTTCGCAACGCCCGTTAACACAATTATTAAGATGACCATTTCTTTTAAATTATGTAGAAGTCTTAAGGTCAGCTTTTTAAATGAATACGAGTATTGGCACACGTCGATATGGCCAGTTAAAATAAAATATGGGGCCCGGAGTCGTAAATATAAGAACAAATCTCTTATTATTTAACTTTACTTCAAAATATGATATTATTTTGTATCTATGTTTGAGTTGTGTGGTGATTAAATTCTACACTCCGATTAATGTAGTGATAAAAATATAGCATTGTTTTACAAAATCGTGTGAGAAAATTGTATAAGATTTTGTATGGCATTTGTTCTTTGTTTGAAAAATATCATAGCATCGGCATTGTTGAATGTAAGATATCTATATATCGCGATTGTGAACAGGGCGATGGAAAAAGAGGACATTGAGTCAAGTGACAACCATCATCTGTACAGGAGCTTACAATAGATTACATAATTGACGGCTGCAATATTATGTTAGTAATAAAGCTGTGACATTAATCAAAGTAAAATGTCTACTCAGAACAGCATGATTCCAACACTAAAATAATGATATATTTTATTTATTATAGACAGTATAATAAACTTTAAAATTTTTAACCTTCAAACTGATAAATTTATAAATCTAAAGAAATTTTTACCACAAAATATCCACTCGGTCCAGGCATTAGACAGGATTTGAACCTGCACCTTCCACTATCCGATTTATTACTACATACAAAACCACAATTGTGAAGAAGCTTTATTTTGTACTCAGTATTAGTCATAATTGAACTATAATATTTTACTAATTACTTCTTTCATTCAATATTTCTGTAATAGAGAATCCATTTTTTTTAAATTAATTAATTAATAAATTCTCTTTTCTTTTTGGAACCATTTCTCATTGTTTTATGTACACATCAATCGAAATGAGTTTATTTAAAATCAAAATATAAATAAGCGATATAAAATAAAACTCCAATAATGCTGCAATAACGGCCGCCGTAAAAATCCTTCGTGTTAGCTAATCCTTATCACAAATTCACTCACCGATTTCATTGTTGTACTTATTTATTTTTTGTGAATGGAAGAACTGATGATCTTCGTTGGATGTGTGAGGTGGGAATGATTTTTCAGTTGGCCGCCGTCAGCTTTTATACGAACGGCAACGATGCAACACGTGAAATAGGGGTGACGATTGGGTAAAACGAACGATATTCTATTAAATCCTCAAGTTAAGTTATCAAAAAATAATGCACACGTATTTTTTCTTTCGTCAATCTACCAAAAAAATCCCATGATATAGCACGTCAAAGTTTGGGGTGGGGACTCGTGACGTCACTATTAAGTAAAAAATATACGTAAATGTGACGTCATGCGATATTTCAATTCAATATATCTCTGTAATAGTTTGATTATGTGCATAAAATAACGTATCCAATACTGTTGGATAATCAAACTGCTAGACGAAGAAAAAAAAAGTTAGTCGTCATCCCTATTGGAGTATGCGCAGAAATATAAAAACCAAAGCATGCAGGATGCCCGCCCGCCCGGGCCTTATCTCGTCTCCCCATAAGAAAATAAATAAAAATGAAATCATATTACGGTACTAACAAGGATATTTGAATAAAAAGTACAATTTGTCTTCGTAGCCAAGTAGTGTTGTGTCTACCATCGAAACTGATTCCGATAAAATGGTTTCTTTTTACTTTATTCAGGTTTTATAAATTTTAAGTGATAATTCTAGGTTAATTAAAAAAATACATAAAAAGGTGAAACTATTTTTTTACACTACCTTTATGAATCCCGGTGTCAAATTTGTATAACATTTACTTCTTTATTAACCTCGTTTATTTCATATTTGAGGAAGATGGTGTTCGCGATAGCGGATATAGTAAAATTAATATAGTTTGCCATGTGATCGAAGCTAAATGAAATGGTAATGGTAAATCAGCATCTTTATTATTTCTTACTAATTGAAATACCATACTAAATTGCGTTTATTCCGTTCAGTTACGGCCTGTGTAGACGAGGGCCTTTTGTACGCGGATTTTTTTGTCTGCACAAAATAGATCGCTTGAAACTGCATCGAGTAAGCCACATGAGGAATTTAAAGTCCCGCGTACAATAAGTCCCCCGAGCAACCGAAGACACTGAGTACTTTTGTCCTGTCCGGTCTATAGGACAAAAGTGGCAGTCAGCGGGTGGCAGTCCCCGCAAAAAAATAGAACTCATGCAACTAGGCTCAGCAACGCATACAGCAAACTTTAGTACCTGTTGCGCGCTCGATCTGATATAAACAAATAATAAATAAATATTTCCAACACTCACACCAATTAACCTAGCTCCAAAGTAAACTTGTGTTTTGGGATACCAAGGTAACGGATAGAATACATAATATACTATGCATTTATAAACATATTTATATGGAAATATATATTAAACATCCATGACTGGAGTACAAATACTCGTATTCATCTCACAAACAGCTGCCCCTACCGGGATTCGAACCTGGGACCTCTCTAGTCGGCGACACCATGAAACTCGGCGTACAAACCACTTGATCACGGAGGTCGTCATAAATAAAAAGTTGAACTTTAAAATGTCTTCTCTTTTTTCAATTTCATGTTAGGATGGCTATTATTATTTTAAACATTATGTAACACATTACAATTATTGTAATTCAGAACTTCTGATTACCCGTAAATGATTAAAAAAGTCAAAACAATAAATCATGATTCATGTAAATATGTTCATTTATATTGTTTTCAATTGCTCGGTTTTAATTAAATTAAATGTATTGATTAATGGTTAGCAGCCACCGTGGTATTTTTTTGAAGTGAAAACTTCTTTAGCGGCGTTATACACTTTTTTTGTAATGGGGAAATAATGTTAAACTCGCGTCAGGACACGTGGCGTAAGACGAAAGCAATAAAATTAGAAAGGTTGTTGACTTTTAACATATTGGACGAAACATTGTAATATTTTATTTTATCGTATTATAATAATGTCTCTAACTAGGAAGTCCAGGTGGCAGCTTTATTGCGAAGAAAATGCATTTTTTTTTTAAATAGATGTCGTTGGGTGCGCTTAAATGTGATTCATGTAAATAGATTGTTCTGATAGATAAACTTTTTAATGTAATATGAATTGTCATTTTTGTGTTCGATAGCGCAATAAATAAATATTTTATTCTACCACATAAATGATAGTACTTTTACACTGATAATAATTAAAGCAATTCGTGCAAAATTATTCCCTAAATGTTCCAAAATATCAAAAATGCACAACGTTAATATTCAAGTTTTCACTTCTGCCGGCACTCCCGGAGTGCAACCCGTCGTTTATTTTTTAATATTAAAAGGGTGGCAAACAAGCGTATGGCCCGCCTGATGGTAAGCTGTTACCACAGCCTAGACGCTTGCGATACCAAAAATATCACTCGCAACGCTGCCTGACCTAATCCCCTACTACGTGGAAGCCTCTTACTCACCGACAGAACAGAACACCAGAAGTAGTGTTATTTCTCAATTATGACTTGTTTACGTCAGTTTTATATTCTGGCCCATAATCTACACTTTACTTGTGCCCCTTTCCCCGACTACCCCATGGAATTTGCGTAGTCAGGTTTTTTTTATATCGAGGTTAGCATATGACTCTACCCCACCTGATGTTAAGTGGTGATAAAGTCAAAACGCGAAGATAGCTTTTACAGCAGTTATAAACTGCTACACCAACCATCCTCACCTTGCCAGTCTGCAAAAATACTTCTTCACGCCTCTCTTAAAGGACTCCAGATTGTAAGAGTTGTTTCTTCTAGAGACAACATTATACTAGATAATTACCTATGTTATTTGGTTTCAGTTTTCTTAAATCACGAAGTTGATTACCGCATACCCTATAGGCAAAGCTATTTTAAGCTGTATTCAGGAAAACGTATACAATACAGCGAACCGATTAGCATGGCTTAATATAGAAATTAATATAAAAACTGGTGACATTTGGATATTAATATGAAAATAAAGGATGTTTATTATAATGATTAATGTGTCTGGTTTTGTTATTAATAGTTTTCCATACAAAATCATACTTTTAAAGCTCCGATAAAAATAAAAATAAATTACGCGGCTCTTAAATTCACCTAAACTAAATTACCTAGATGCATTGTTCCTATTCGTATGCTATTCATAATTTCCCTACGAAAGCATTCATTTGTGGACGTTTTGCGAGATATAAAAAAAACATTTGTTATACAAAACCTTTACTTGTTATATTGGTAGTACAGGATATTATTATTAACCCGAAAATTAATAGTCAACCAGTCCCCCATAAGTATAAATAACATATTTCTTTTTATATTAAATATCGTTAGTACATGTAAAAAAAATCAGCTCATTCAAAACGATGAAATGACCAATTAAATATTTAGGTTTCAATGATTCGGTTAGAAATAAAATAAGTCGATAAAATGTAATTACCTATTTTATCCAAAGATTCCACTACCTATTTTGGTAACGACCACTGTGACATATTGAAATAGTTTTACCGTCTAACCTAATTTTATGTATCTACTAAAAAAACGGAGAAATGCCAGATTTACTAAGAAAATCGTTGAACTTTAAATATCTGACAGAAATAGCAGTATCAATCAGCAACTTCACTGTTAGATAGTGTTCTATGGTGGATAATTCAAAATCTGTTTTTTCAGGACGTGGTCATTTTTTATTGGTGGTCAATTTAAGTTATTTTTAGTTACTCATTCTATGGCGCGACTTTACAAAAGACTTGGTTTCTGCAATCGGATTCCAAATGCGTTGACCAGTGGGTGTGGTTGCTATTTTTAGTGATTGTGCGTCTGGATATCTAGTTTTTCTAGTTTGTCGATTTTGGACAAGTAGTTGTAATAATTCATTTTACATGAGTTCAGTAGGCTAAGATAATTTTTAGGGTATGAAGGAACTAAGCTTTTGGGTGGGTGACCAAAATTTTACTATCTCGAGGTACTCTGTGCTTCGGAAGGCATGTTAAGCTGTTGGTCCCGGCTGCATCTGCAGTCGTTAGCACCCACTGTATGTATGTATGCAACTGCAACAAACGGCCACTGCAATTTCTACCCATTTTAGGCGATTTGAAGTTTTATTCCATAATTGAAGTTTCATTATTAAAACAAATTTCATGGTAACAGCTACAGCTAGTTCTCGAGAATAATTAGTATATGAATGAATAGGTAACCTTTCGCTTGCATACTACTGCTAGACTTCGTTTTAATTTGTTTATTTATCGATTTCGATTCGATAAATTAATTTTTGTTAACAATCACGATAACTTCAATATCATCAGGGCATTTCGATGGTACATTTTATTATTTTCTTTCAATATTGAGGCCTATATTACTAGGATACGCAATGTTACGTACACGCAATAGAGTTAAGATACTAGGTGTGGTTAGCGAGATGATATCACTTTGGTAAGTAGTACGTATGAATTTTAATCTTCTTCTTGATCCAAATCATCCGATTCCATAGCCTTTAACATTATCATTCAAATTGGCCTCTCTTAAGCAAGCGATTTCTGACAAATACTGCAAGTTGCATCTGATTTACATTAAATCTCAAACCTAGTCTAGTGATATAATAACATGAGTGATAACATATTGAAATTCTGCTAAGATTTGGCAAATGCATGTATCATAAATTTATTTCAATGTTCCTTTTGCTTCAATGGAGCAGGTCACAATGCGTTTTTCTGTTCCAGTTAAACCAAGAAGATAGATTGTTTTTTTTTTATATAAAAGACGCAGAGAATACTTTAGTTTAGGTTTGAATACTTGAAGTCCACTACGCCTAAAGCCTTATTAAAAATATAAACTTTAAAATATCCAATAAAAGATCACGTAAAAATCACTCATTGCTATTATCATTACAAAGAAGTTTCAACCTAACGTTAGATGGGATGGGGTAATTTGTTGCGCCTCGTATAAAAAAACCAGTAACTTAAATGTCTCCATATGAAAAAAGTAAGAATAGCATTAAGATCGACGCGAATACATGAAAGAATCATTCATATTACAATTAAAATCGTACTATCGTTCTAACTCATCTGCGATAAAATTCCTTTTC